AAGGTCAACGAGGGCTTCCCAGATCTGGCGTGACTTTGGCTCCCACCAACAGGTCCCAAGTTCCAGCAAAGGCAGAGTGAGAATTTGCCACCTGCAAAAAAACAATCCCAAATACTGATATAAAAATCTGTCACAGCCGGAGAGATGGCTCAGGAGTTAAGAGCCCTGACTGCTCTTCTGGAGGACCCAGATTCATTTCCCAGAACCCACATGGCTGCTTATAACCAGCCATAGCCTCCAGCACCTCCCTCTGGTCTCCATGGATACTACACACACAAGATACATGACATTCCTGCCAGCACAACAGCCATACATGTAAAATAAATCAATATTTTGTAATTTAAAAAAATCTTCTCAGAAGCTGGGCATGGTAGTTCATGCCTTTAATACCAACACTCGGGAGGCAGAGGCAAGTGAATCTCTGTGAGCTGAAGACAAGCCTGGTCTACACAAGTTCCAGGACAGCCAGAGCTACATAGTGAGGTCCTGTCTCAGAAGGAGAAAGAAGAAGAGGAGGAGGAGGAGGAGGAGGAGGAGGAAGAGGAGGAGAAGAGAAAAATAAAGGAAGATCTTCTCAGAGCTGAGGCTATCCCTCAGAAGTACAGCATGCTGTTTTCTTTTCTTTTCTTCTCTTTTTCTTTTTGACACAGGGTTTTTCTGTGTCTCTGTGTTGCCCTGGAACTAGCTCTGTAGACCAGGCTGGCCTTGAACTCACAGAGATCCACCGGCCTCTGCCTCCCAAGTGTTGGGATTAAAGGCGTGTGCCACCACCTCCACCACCACCCTGGCATCAGTAGAGCATTATTCTTTTTTTTTTTAACTTTTGATTCTTCGTGAACCTCACATCATGCACCCCAATCCCACTCATCTCCCCTGACCCTTTGTATCTGTCCTCTGCCCTTGAACCCTTACCTCCAAGATAAAATGAAAAGACAAAAAATAAAAATAGACAAGAAAACTTCTTATCATGGAAGCTGTAGCGTGTCACATGTGTCCCACAGTATAGCCTTTTGTCTACACAGCTTTACATGTTCATTGCAAAGAGTCACTGGTCTGGTTCGAGGCCTCCGGCTTCTGCTACACTGTTAATACTGCGTCCTCACTAGGACTCCTCTCAGATATCCTGTTGTTGCCCTGCAGCTTTGGATCTGCTGGAGTGGGCCCCTTCACTGCTGCAGCAATTCATAGGTGGGGTTGACGTTGGGGAGGGCCAACTCAAAGCCCTCGCTTGGGCCTGGATGGTAGCCGAGTTGGTCAGCCTGTCAGCTCTCCTGCACCCATGCTACCAGGGTCCGTTCTCTAGCACTGCCCTGGCTAGCTCACCCAATTTTGACACTGGTGAGGAGCTGGGCCAGCTCTCCTGTTCTCATGACCTTGGGAAGAGGGAGGCAGCTCACCCATACCCCTGACACCAGGGCCAGCTCTACTGTGTTACTCTGGCTTGGTGCAGGCCCTAATCTCCCAAGTGCTGTAGCAAGTAAGGGGTGTGGCCAGCTCTGCACTCGCGCCACACACACACATCAACTCGGCCCAGGCAGCAGCCTGGATCAGGGATGTGTCTCATGACCCTCAAGTGACAACATGAACCACAGACATTGATACAGACCCAGATGTGACTCTCAGTGACAGTACAGGCCAGAATGTCACCATGGCCTCAGCTGGCAGGGCAGGCCACTCACATCAGGCCATCTTTCTCTACCCTCATGTCTCCGGTTCTGCCTCCCCCTTATCCTTCCATCAAATACCTGCACGTCGTGGTGGCTCTCACTGTGGGCAGGCCACAGGGAGGGTGGGCCTCTGGGTGTCTTCCACCTGCCCACGCCGAATGGTGGGGCCTTATTTTCTTATTCTTATGTGTACGGGTGTTTTGCCTTCATGAATATCTGTGTACCATGTGTGTGCCGGGTGCCCATGGAAGCCAAAGAGAGCATCAGATCCCCTGCGACTGGAATTACAGACAGTTGTGAGCTGCCATGTGGGTACGGGGAATCAAACCTGAGTCCTATTCAAGAGCACTCATTGCTGCTAACCGCTGAGCCATCTCTCCAGCCTCGTTTCTACTTTTTAAAAATATTTACTACTTGAATATTTTATACATTCGCACGCTATGTACTGACCAGACCCCCCCCACTTCACCTCTCCCTACTGTCTGTATTCCAACTTCATGTCCTCTTTAAATAAAAACAGACTGTTATTGGTTACTGCTGAGTCCGATGAGCGTGGCCCCTATGCCTAGGGCCTTGGAACCCCGGACTGTGGCCTGCGCGGCTTGCCGGCGGCTACCACGTGTTCACATTATCAGCAGCGCTGATTTAGTGGAAATATGATAGTTTTGCCCACTACATTTCAGCTCCTACATTTGTTACTTGTATTCTCTGTTACTTCGGAAACGTCATGTTCACTGTGATGGCTTTTCTCTATTATTTTCCTTGTGGAAGCTTTATACGCTAGTGTTTGCCGAAAGAAGTATCAGGATTAGGTACCGCTGTGTTACAGGAACACCCCAGATGCTTAAACTGGATGAAAGTTTCTTTCTAGTCCACGTAAGGTTTAGGGGAGGACAGTACAGGCCTGGCCTTGGACCCACGCCACGGAGCAGGAGGCTCCCCTCCGCTGATCCGCTCTGAGGCTCATTCCCATGTTCCAGGGAGCAGTTGGGTCTCCAGCCACCACCTTCAGAAACAGAAGGAAAAAGGAAGAGCCACCTGTCTTCTATTTGCATCTTAATGGCCAAAATTCAGACATGTGACCTTACCCAACCACGAGGGAGGCCAGACAAGGAGCCAGCTAAAACTCTGGACCAATGTCAGAGCGATTAGGATGGGGCAGCCAACTCTGCCTTCCACAGACAAGAGTGAAATCTGTGTTTTCAATCCAACCCACTCATGTGAGAACAATCATGGTGTTTATGATGATGATGAGCTAATCTGGACTAAATAAGGACCACGATCCACCAGATAGTATTCACAGGAGGCCACTGGTTCAGCTTCGGCTCCTGCGCTGGATCTGGCTTCAGCGAACTGCAGGCGGCCCTGAAGCCAATGGCCCAACTAAGCTGTAACCAATTAAGCGGTCTGTGCACACACTTTTTCCCCTATAAATGCTGTCAGATCCTATTATTGCTGGGAGTTGTCTGCCTCGGATGGCCCAGTTCACAAATCACTTTTCTGTGTCACTTTCTTCTTCGTTTATAATCGCGCAAATAAACTCACATTGAGTTTAATTTGGGTTAAGATTTCCCCTTTTGACTAGTAGGTGTGGGCACTGTTCCTGGTACTGGCTACATGGTACTGAACCATTACTGTGCCTCCAAGGAGTAGAGATGATTGTTCTCATTTCACGGAGGAAGAAACTAAGGCACAGAGGAGTCTGCTCAAGTCATCTCAGCTTCAAAGATGGTGCGACGTGGGTTTCAATGATGCCTGACAGCTAGCTCTGGAACCCCCAGGGCTCAGCACAACTACAAATAGAGGTCTACAGCCAGCAGCCACACTCCATGTCAAGGAGGCCCAATGGGGTTCTTCCTGGGTCTTTTTTCCTCTTCCAGGGGTGGAGAGAGAGGCTCTGAGCCAGCTTGCTCCGGGCATCTCATACTCATCTGTTACATTTGTGTCCTTTTGAGGAGTGAGCTGCATTTGTGGTTTATTGTCCAAAATATGTTGGCTGCTCCAGGGAATGATTCTGCACCCCCAGCAGCCAATATATTGTATAACACATAGTAGGTGCTCCAAGAACCTGTCCTTGGTGAACATGTAAGTTTTGTGAGGGGTGCCGAGTGTGCAGAAGTGGGAGGCTAGGATACTGCCCACTAGCACTCATGGACAAGAAGGAGGACTGGTGGGCACCACAGGGAACAACCTGGGCAAAGGGCCAGGAACCTGCTGGCCAGAAGTGTGCGCAGCTAGACATAGCTTAGGAGCCAAGCAGCAAGGAACATGGTCTTGAAGGGAGGCTGAGCCAGACTGGTAATTCCTTTCAAGTCCCAGGGGGGAATGTTGGTCTCAGTCTGGAGGCAGAGGCTTAAATGGGGGGGGGGGGGGGGGGAATATATGCAGACCTAGGGCAACTCTTTCAGCACACAGAGCATGGAAGGAGAGAAAAACAAAAGCAGGAAAGGCTGGGTGGCAAGGACGGCAGGAGGCACACCGAAACCAGGCTTGCTGGGGGTCAAGGAAGGCAGCAGCACGCTGCTCAGGACAGAGAAGGAGAAAGTGCTTGAGAGGGCAGCCATGAGAGCAGATGGGCTTGGAAGGGAGGAGGGGTGGAGCAAGGAGAAACAAAAGCAAGCCAGATGGGCCAGGGAACTGTAGGAGGAGAAAGGGTGGGGGTACAGACGCCCGGCAGGGGAGGGGGCCAGGAAGAGCTTGGAGAGGGCCCCTGGCTCCAGCCGAGGCAGACAGAGCTGCTGGCCGCCTGCATCTTTGTCCTCATGGCTCAGAAATGCCCCAGGCTTGCCAGAAGACTTCAGGCCACTGCTAGTCTTGTCTCCTACCAAGCCAAGGCAGCTCCCACATCGGGAGCCTCGGGGCTTCCTCCCCTAGCCTTCCCATCTCCAAGTGGAGACCCCTCTCTCAAACCCAGGGACCCCTTCCCCCCACCGTTACCCCTGGCAAATGTCTGACTGAACAGACTAGACAGGAATGGGAGAAAAGCAGACATCTGTAGAGGGCCTGTCAGGAAGCAGGGGTGGGCAGAGGCCAGCTGGGGTTGCCAAGGGGCCTACAAGTCCAGCAGGGCGGGAGGCGGAGTGGGATCCAGGGAGCAGTCGCAGCTGGTAAGGAGTTAATGTCTGGTCCACAGTGCTTCCCTGACAGGCCTAATGAGACACAGGTGGTGGTCCTCGACCCCCCCCCCCACACACACACACAGTGTAAGCTGATGCTGGGGGCTGGTTACTGGGGTGGGGGTGGGGGCCTTCTACAGTTCCAGGGGCGGAGCTGGGTCTGTGGGCTCAGGCCCAACACATAACTGCAAGCTGCTGCAGTCCGGGGCCCCAGACAGCCGGCCTCTCTGAACTGAGCTGACAGCATGAAGGTACTGGCCTGGCCTGGGAGATCAAGGCCATTTGTGGAGACAAGCGGCTTGCCAGATAGGGAATAGAGGAGCATAGTGGGTACTCTCTTGAAACCTGAGCTCTGAGGAGATAGAGGCTTTCCCAGACAGTAAAGAGGGGAAAAGAAGACAGAGGACAGGATTTCGGGCTGGAGGAGCACTGGGAGGTGACCGGCCCCTGACCCTGTCAGGGTCTACACTCATGCCATTTCCCACCCCCAGGCCCTCACAGCCCTGCTGCTGCCACTGCTGCTGCTGCTGCTCTCCACGCCTCCCTGCGCCCCGCAGGCCTCCGGGATCCGGGGAGATGGTAAGCAGCCCCCCTTCTCAGACATGGCCTGGTCTGCAGGCTGGATGAGGCCATTCTAAGCCAGACTCTGCAAGACTGTTTCCTCCTCCACAAGGTGGCAGGTATCCCCTAGAGAAAACTCCAGATTTCTCATGTCGGGGTCCCCTAGGCCCGGGGAAAAGCCGGGATGCTAACGTGTCCTTTCTGCCTTAGTCTTTCTCCTCACTGTCCCCACATTGCCACTCTCAGCTCTGGAGAAGTCCTGTCTTCAGCAGCCCCTGGACTGTGATGACATCTACGCCCAGGGCTATCAGGCCGACGGCGTGTACCTCATCTACCCCTCGGGCCCCAGCGTGCCAGTGCCTGTCTTCTGTGACATGACAACCGAGGGTGGCAAGTGGACGGTGAGTAGGCGGAGGGGCCTCAGGACACGTGGAGTTCAGGCAGCTCCGTGATCCTGACCGTCACCTCCGTGGAATGGGTCCCTCATGTGAATGGGGACCGGACCCAGCGCTGCTAACACATACGTGCTCGTGGTTAGTGCATGCTGTCCTTGCAGTGATAGGTAGGCGCCTCTCCTAAAAGAGGAACTGCAAGCCCAGAGAGGTAGCATTGCGCCCCTGGTGCCAGGACCCACAGCCAGGCACTGTAAACACCCCCCTCCCTTTTTGTCATCAGCACAGGGACGGAACCCAGGGACTCTATGCTAGGTGGGTTCTTTGCCGCAAAGCTGTCTCCGTCCCCCCACGGCCCCTTAACCTCTTGCCCTTCCCGTCTCTCAGCGGACAAGAGGGCACACAGGTACCTTTTCAGCGGCAGACGTTCAAAGAGAGGCCTGGCACCAGACTGTTTGTGTTAGCAGCTCCCTAATACCCACTCAAGCTCTTCATAGACTGGCTCAGCATCCCAGCGTCCAGGCCTGGGGGCCAGGGCAGGACAGGGCAGAGCCCCTGAGGGTCCTGGGCCTCCGTCACGCGGTCCCCTTGTTTCCAGGTTTTCCAGAAAAGGTTCAACGGCTCAGTGAGTTTCTTCCGGGGCTGGAACGACTACAAGCTGGGCTTTGGCCGTGCTGACGGGGAGTACTGGCTGGGTAAGGTGGGGCCACGGGGCGGGGGCTGCCCCTCAGCCGAGTCTCTGCTGACCAGCTGCCCCCCCCCCCCACCAGGGCTGCAGAACCTGCACCTCCTGACGCTGAAGCAGAAGTATGAGCTGCGCGTGGACCTGGAGGACTTTGAGAACAACACAGCCTACGCCAAGTACATTGACTTCTCCATCTCCCCCAACGCCGTCAGCGCTGAGGAGGACGGCTACACGCTTTACGTGGCCGGCTTCGAGGATGGTGGGGCAGGTACCCCATGGGCTTCTTCAGGGGCAGAGGCGGGGGCGGGGGAGCCATAGCGGAGTATTGGCCCCGCCCTATTGGCTCCTTAAGGCCCCTCCTTCGACCCTTCTGGGCTTGGAAGAGCCACGCCTCTCTGCAGACCACATCCAGCCCTGGGGAGCAGCCACCCTGGCCCTGCTCCAGGCAGCTGTGCACAAGAACAGCTGTTTCTCCTTTGCCGCTCGGGGAGGGTGCCACCATCCCAACAGGATGGCACATGATGTCGTCCCCCGGTGTCCTTCCTCAGTGCTGCCGCTCATAGCCTGCCAGCAGAAGGCTCAGCTCCTGGCCTCAGGGGCTCCATTCTTTCCCCCTCCTGCCAGGTGACTCGCTGTCCTACCACAGTGGCCAGAAGTTCTCCACCTTCGACAGAGACCAGGACCTCTTCGTGCAGAACTGTGCAGCCCTCTCCTCAGGGGCCTTCTGGTTCCGAAGCTGCCACTTCGCCAATCTCAACGGTTTCTACCTGGGCGGTTCTCACCTCTCCTATGCCAATGGCATCAACTGGGCTCAGTGGAAAGGCTTCTACTACTCCCTCAAGCGCACTGAGATGAAAATTCGCCGCACCTGAGGGGCTGGCCCAGACACACTCTGTCTCTCCCCTGGATGCCCCAAGTCTCCATGCTCTCCCCCACAGTACCTGAGTACCAGCAATGCCCTGGCAAATCCCCATCCCATATCCAGGTAGGCCCTGCTGCCGTCCATCTGACGCTAGGCTGTCTGCAGCCTTCTAAGGCCTTTCTGTGGCTCAGCCATCCTAGCCTGGATCTGGCTGAAAGCCATAAAAACTCCCAAGTTGCTTCTGCCCTTTCATGACGGCCGAAAGCCAGAAGCTACCGTCTGGCTGCCAGCCTTTGCGTTCCACCTCAGCCCATTTCCTTACTTCAGACCCACCTGTTTCAGGCTACCCTTGACAGAGTAACTCGGCACCTAAGGCATGTGCCAGCCAGCTCGTGCACGGCCACTGTCACACTCCAGCACTCCCAAAGCTGCTTCGGAATACTTCCCACCCTTGGTCTCCACCTCAGCTTACTCCTTATAGTGAGCACTACGGAGCACAGCCCCACTTGCTTTCACTCATCCCTCAAAAAGTTCAATGCCAAAACAACCTTCACCACAGCTGCTGCTCATCAGCTCCGCAGCAGCGAAGGGCAAGAGAGGCATGTTAACTAGGCCCCCATGCCCCCCAGGGATTGTCATGAAAGGCAGCAGAGAACAATCCGTGGGGCCGGAGGTGGTATCAATAAACCTTCAGGATCTGATGGTCTGTCTTTGTGGACAAACATTTACTAAGCTCCAAATAGGAGCACCTGGCTCTTCCTCATACCCTACCGTTGGTGTTCCTACCACAACTCCAAAAACGACACAGAGTCAGGTTAAAGGAAACCTTGTATTTTACAGGTCTCATTTTGAAGGCAAAACAAATGCATATTACAACAATAATAAAAGTACAATACTGAAGAAGATTGCTCAGGAGGGAGTAGTCTGCCCATCCTGTTATGGCTCGGTGGTGGCTCAGGTGGCTGCTTAAGGCTGAAAGGTGGGTCTGAGATGAAGCTGCAGAGTAACTCAAGCTGAGCCTCGCCTGCCAGTCCCAAGGCTGCACCCTCTGGATGGCACCCCTGGACTCTGGGGCTGGGGCTGTGCTGGCAGCAAGGCACAAGCTGTGGGTCTCAGGGCTCCTGGAGGTCAGGCAGGTCGGACAGCAGCATTGGGGAGTCCATCTGGATCTCACGCTGCAGAGACTCGATGTCGGCAGGGTTCATGCCGTGGCCCTCGAGCCAGTCAGCAAGGAGGGACGCCGAGAGCGAAGCCGAGTCTGCCTGGCTGCAGGGAAAAGAAAGTGGGATGGGTGTTCTCAGCCTGGGCCATCTGAGGACCCTGCCACAGCCCCATTCAAAGAGCTCGGTCCAGCCATCTTACCCATCCTGTGGCGCGTCAGCCACACCCATGTCGAAAGACTGGTTTAAGAACTCCTCCAGGTCAAAGCCAACACCGTAGCCAGCCCCACTGCCCTTTGGAGTGCCCGAGAAGACGGGAGGCAGGGGGTCCTCCACCTGCAGAGGGCAGTAGCAGGTCGTAACGCAGGTGCCAGGAAGGACAAACTGGGGTCAGCAGGGCACAGCCTGCTACTACTGACCACTCTGCCCAGATAGCCCAGAACATGAACACAATCTTGAAATCGCTAAGTGCCAGTAGCACAGATGAAGCTGTCTCTCGACCATACACTTTCCATGCACAATCTGTCTCTCAACAACCTCTTCACCGACCTTACTACGTTCCTCTATGTTCCGGCTCAAAGAGATAAGGCTTCCTTTGCTGCTTCCTTTCTTTCATCCAACATGAACCACCACCCAAACCCACCTTCCTGGACCAGATCACAGTATCCCAGCCCGTTGTCTCTCTTCTCACCTGAGACTTGGACAGCTGCTGGGTCACCAGGTTGACATCGGGTGACTCTGATGGACAGGGCTGAGGGGGTCCCCCAGGATCTGGAGGTGGTGGGCCAGATGGAAAGTAAGGCAGAACTTCTGGGGCACTGGAGGCAGGCAACCCGCCAGGTGGCCTAAGTGACTGGGAGGCCAGAAGGCTGGTGGAAGGGGCAGTCTGGAGAGGGGCAGGGACGGTTCCGGGAAGGCCAGCAGGCTGGGGAGCGGGGCCAGAGGGTGGACAAACAGGCTGAGGGGCAGGACCAGAGCCTGCAGCCTGTAAAGGCAGGCCAGCACGAGGACTACTGGGTTGGGCAGAGGAGGGGGCGGGGGCGGGGGCTGGGGCAGGAGGCCGAGCCATGCGAGTCCACCGCTCTAGCAGGCTGCGGTCATTGTCACTAAGTACCAGTCCAGCCAGAGGGTCAGTAGAGGGGCCCCCCAAGGCACCAGCCCCCCTCTCCTTGCGCTCCCGCTCTTGTCGCCGCTTCTCCCGCTCCTTGGCTCTCTCTTGCCGTCTCCTACGCTTCTCTTCCCGCTCTCGCTGGCGTTCCTGAGCTGTCACAGGCTTTCGAGGTTCAGGCGCCTCCAAGGGTGCACTGGGGCCATCTGTAGGGAAGTCGAACAAGGGAAAAATAAGGGCTAACACTTCTAAAAGTCCCTGTCTGCCTGCCACTCACTGCCGGGTCCACAAAGCACCTCGGAGTCGGCTCCTCAGGGACTTGAGCAGGGCAGCTTTGAGGGCTGCTTTGGTGTTGTCGGAGATGGCACCCTCTCTTTTCGGTGGAGCGAGCTCACTGGCTGGCGGGGCAGGCTGCAGGGTCAGGTCAACAGCGTCGGGTGCAGGTCCAGAGCACGGTGGCGGTGCTGGAGGGGGTGACTCCATGGCACAGTCTCCACTTGGGGCCCAGGGGCTGGGCATCTCAACATCCGGACACGCGGGCTCACTAGCCACAGGCTGCAGAGAGGGCTGGAAGCGGATCTGTTGGCGGATGCCCTCCCGCCGTGCGTGGAAGTCCTCGATCTCGGCCACAATGGCCTCCTTGATGCGCTCCCTCGTAAGGGCTTCTCGGTCAAAAGCAAAATCGAAAGGCGGGGCACAGTCAGGCTCATCGTCGGGATCATGGTACTTAGCCAGGAAGGGGTGACGAAGGGCGGCGGCCGCTGAGATCCGGGCGCTGGGTTCAAAGCGCAGCATGCGTCCCAGCAGTGACAGGGCCTGGCGGTCGGCACCCGGGTACACCGTCTCCCAGGGCACAGCCTGCCGCGGCGGCAGGCTCTGGATATAGGCCCGCACCCTCTCGGCCCCCACGGCCTGAATCACAGCCGGGGACGGGGTTCCCAACACCATCATGATCAGCTGTAACTGGTGCACATAATTTTTGCCCGGAAAGAGCTGTCGCCGAGCCAGCATCTCACCAAAGATGCAGCCCACAGACCAGAGGTCGATGGCCTGTGTATACTCGTGCAGGGAAAGCATGAGCTCGGGGGCGCGGTACCAGCGAGTGGCCACATACTCGGTCATGAAGTACTGATGCTCCGCGGGGGAGGTACACAGGCCGCGGGCCATTCCGAAGTCACCAATCTTGAGCTCACAGTTCTCATTCACCAAAAGGTTCGAGGGTTTAAGGTCGCGGTGGATGACCTGAGCGGAGTGCATGTACTTGAGGCCCCGGAGCAGCTGGTACAGGAAGTATCGCACGTGCTCCAGCGTGAGCGGCTGGGAGGAGTGAATGATCTGGTGGAGGTCGCTCTCCATGAGGTCCAGTACCACATAGCTGCAAACGGGGAGAGAGGTGTGAGCGGGCCTGTTCACACTACAGGGGTAAGCCCCGTCCTCGTCCTCACTGGCCCTGCCAATTCTACAGGTTATGACCTTGCAAACGGGAACCCCAAAGGATGGAATGAAAGAATAGCACCAGGTTCTTGATTTTCCTCAACTTTTCATAAGTTTTTCTTTTTTTAAATTTATGTGTATGTTTCCCTGCAAGCATACGTATGTCCTACTCAAGTGCCTGATGTCCGCAGAAGCCAGAAGAGGGAGTCTGATACCCTGGAACTGGAGTTAATAAATGTGAGCCGCCACGCAGACATTAGGAACTGATCCCAGGTCCTCTTGAAAGAGCAGCAAAGCGCTCTTAACTGAACGTTTTTTCAGCCTTCACTTTTCTACAACTTTCGACAAATCATTTTCTCCATGCACCTAATTTCCCTGTCAAATTTAAAATATATATGTGTTGGGGGGGAAGGGTATACAGTTATTTGGAGCCAACTCTTGTTTGCCAGCAGCCACTAGAAAAGCTGTGGTAAAAAACTGTGAAAGCTTGTCAATTTTCTATTTTTAAGGATGCATAGTCTGTGATCAATTAGTCATGTCTGCCGTGAGAAAAGAAAAGTGTCATGACACCTCAGCAGCCTTTGTTTGCTATCTTACACAGTTTAGACCTGTTCTATCTTTTTCTCCTCTCTTGTTGCTTGGGGTTTTTTGTTTTGTCTTTGGGGATAGGGTCTCATGTATTCCAGCCTAGCCCACACTTAGTATATGCCAAAGGTGGCACACCCAAATAAAAAGATAGATCCTCTTCGGTTTTTGGTTTTTTTTTTTTTTTTTTTTTTCTTTTAGCACAGGAAAGTCAACCTAAAAATCCCCAAAATTCCAATCACTTGACTACTGAGCTACACACGCCCACAGCCCTTGGGCTCCTCTTGAGAAATAAACTGTCCCATACCAGTGTCCCACAGGAACACTAGTCCTGGCATCATGAGACTTCTCTCAGGCGGCATCACAGGTTCAAGCTGCCCTTCCAGGACCTGAGCATCACTGGCCCTGGACTTCTAAACTGGTCCCAACCGTGTCTCCTTTTCCTGTCCCACTCCTTACACAGATTTGAACTCCCCGTACGGCACAGTGGGCCTCAGGATGTCCTTGATGGCGATGATATTGTCATGTTTGAAGTGTTTGAGGATCTTCAGTTCCCTGAGGGTCCTTTTGGCATTGGTCACCACATCAAAAGCATTGGGTATCTTCTTGATGGCCACCTGCTGGCCTGGAGAGCAGGAAAAGGGCACACACCGGAGAGTACCTTCAAGTTAGCTGAGGGTCCCTTTCATCACAGCCCTTCTAGAAACCAAGTAACAACAGGTGCCTACCAGGCAAGACCCTGTGTGTAACACACATCAGATTTTAATTTCACAACTACCTCAGGAAGCAGGTACACCAGCTCACATACAGAGGAGACACAGCCAGTTCCTGGTGGTCTTGACTGCTGTACCTAAGCTCACTATCCCTTCCTCATATACTCTCTCCATCCCAGACCTTCCCCATTCCGCCACCAAGCCACTGCGCCCATCTCTGGCTCTAGAACCTATCCCCTTTGGACACCAAGAAGCGCCTCTCTGTTCTGGCTTGCAGGGATATCATTTTCCTAAGGAAGAAGCAGGCTGACTGGGAGCAGCAGAGTTCCTGAGAAGGGTACCTAACGCGGAGCTGGCACCTAGTCGGCAAGTGGTGAGGGGAACCAGAATCCCCGGCGCAGCCGATCCTCCTGGGACCGTGCGGGTCCCTCACCGCCTCTGGAAAGCAGTCCACACATGCTGAGCCTCAGGAAGCCAGCTCACCCGTGAGGCGGCGGCGCGCCGAGGACACCACCCCGTAGGCCCCATTGCCTATGGTCTCGATGATCTCGTACTCGTCCCCCACGTCAAAGGTCACGTCGAAGGAGCGGGCTTTGAGCAAGGCCAGGTTCTTGGCCACGACAGAGGCCGCGGTGTGGACGGGTTCTGCCTTCACGCGCCCGGGGGGCTCCCCAGAGCCATCTTCGCCATCCTCCTCCTTCAGCGGCTCAGCCATGGTCTGTATGAGGCTCTGGTGAGAAGATCGCCCTGAGGGCCTCTCGGTGTCCCCTCTGTGGGCTACGACGCAGGACCTACGCAGGAGGCGAGAAGGGGCGGCTGGCACGGCGAACCCCGCGGCCCCGGAGTCTGGGTCCAGGGGGCGCGGCGAGGCCCCGGAAGAAAGGGAGGGGCGGGGCCCTGGGGCTCCCGGGACCGCACTCACCGACCGGCCGGCACCTCGCCGCCACGCCTCCTCGGAGATTTGGGGTTCCTGAGTCTTGCCGACCCAGAGACGAGTGTCCACCCTGCACTCGGTCACCTATCACAGACGGCGGCCACCACCTAAGCCTCGCGCGCGCAGCGGCAGACCACCCCGCCCGCCGCCCCGGGACCACGCTCTTCCAGCCCCCGGCCAATCGCTGGGCGGCTCCCGCGGAGGTTTCCGCCCCTCCATTTTACTCTATCCAATCAAAACTCACCGACGGGGAAGCCCCGCCTTTAGCTCGCGGGCACGCGCGCACGCGCGCTCCCAGTTGTCCAGCTCGCGGCGGGAGCCGCCCAAGGGGAGATGCGCGCTGCTCAGGGGTGCGCGCGCAGCCCCGCGACAGGCTTTGACGCATGCGTACTAGCAGCCTCGGGAGACGGGAGAAGGCAAGGCTCCACCATGTTCGCGTGCACATCCGAACCTAAGGGGCGAAGATACGGGGGGGGACTGTTACCTAGGCAACAGGCTCCACACGCTCCTTCACCCCCTCCCCGGTTCCTTTAGGCTCCTCATCATTCCTCGTTAGCGTCATCTACTCGGTGGATTTGCCTTGCACGCTTTCGGCGCCGGAAGTCCTGGACGCCGAGTAGTGACCACCGAGACCCAGTCCTCCGGATTCTAGAGAGTCGCTCTAGGTCCCGCAGCCAGGCCCTGGCCGGGACGCGCATGCGCTCGGGACCGCGACGGAGCCAGATCCCTACAGATCGTTTTGTTTTCTTCCGTCCTGCTCGATCGTTTGGACCAGGGGGTCAGTGAGCGCCGTCAACCCGAGAGTTGAAAAGGTTCTCGGTAGGCAGCTCAGGTGAGCCCCACTCCAGGGAGGGCTGGGATTCCCAGTGAGACAAGAAAAGAGGAGAGAGAAACCGGGATGAAACCCAGTAAAGTTTGAGTACCCGCCTGACATCTATCTATATTACTTAGTTCTCAACTAAAAGCCACAGGTGGGGTCCCGACCAGAAATGAATTTAGGGAATCGTACACAGTTTACGTTGCCCAGCCTTTCGTGTTTTGTACAAAAAGTACATGCAGAAAGTTTCACGCATCAATACATTTCCACCAACTTAACAGCCGCATGTGTTCGATTTGATTAAAAATTTTTATAAAGCTAGGCATGGTGACTCACGCCTTCGGTCCCAGCACTGGAGAGGCAGAGGTTGGAGAATCACTGTAAATTCAAGATTAGCCTGGTCTACATGTGGAGCTCCAGGCCAGCCGTGCCTACACATTGAACCTCTGTTTCAAAACAAATAAGAGGCAGCACCTCAGAAGCCTCTTCTGTTTCCCAGGACAGATTTTGTAGTCTGGCTGTTGGCACTCATTGTCCATACGTGGGGGATTCAAGAGGTTTATCAAGTACATCAAAATAGAAAAGTAGCTGGGTGTGGTGGCCCACACCTTTAATCCTAGCGCTTGGGAGGCAGAGGCAGTGAATCTCTGTGAGCCAGCCTGGTTTGCAAATCGAGTTCCAGAAGGAAAAAGAAAAGTAGTCATGGCCTGCACTTTGTTTTGCATCCATTTCTAACTCCTTGGATGATGAGGCCGTTTCGTTGGTAACATGGTTATGCATGCTGGTCGAGCATGAAAGACCTGTGTTCTGATCCCTAGCACCTATATAAAAAGTCCAGCATAGCTGCACTGTTAATAAAACCCAGTTCTGGGAAGTGGAATCATGAGGATCCCAAGGGCTCACTGGCTAGACAATCTAGCCAAATTGGTGGGTGAGCCTGGGCTTCAGTGAGAGACCTTTTTCAGAAATAAGGTCGGTGAGGGGCGGAGGAACGTACAGTGTCAAGCTCTGGCATCTACACACGCCCGCATAGGGTTGCACACAGACGGGAGACATAAATAGCTAGAAAAAACTCCAGTTAGGTATACTGGATGCGCCCCAGGGCAAAGGCATAGCTAGAATGTGTAGGCATGTAGTCATAAAAGCTTGCTATAAATTTGTTTCTAATTTCCTTGGCATCAGAACACAGACTAAATTCTCTTAAATGATTTGCACTGAACATTGTTTAGAAATCATATTTGTGGAAAATGGGCATTCTGTCACTGAGGCTTAACAGTTCTTTGGTGGCCTTTATCTAGGTGACAAGGCAGACAACCTTTCCTGCCTCTGAAGTAGGCACAAGTCAGTGACCATGCGCAGACACCCAGCAAGCAATTCTACCCTTCAGTATATACCTAGAACTGAAGGCCTGTGTCCTTGTATTCATTCACAAAAATTAGAAGCTCAACTGTCAATATTTGATGAAAGGGCATAAAGAGAAAAAGCTGGGCATAGTGGTACATGCATTTAATCCCAACTTGGTAGGTAGGGGCAAGTGGATCTCTGTGATCTCTTTAAAGCCAATCTGGCCTATTTAGTGAGTTCCAGGCCAGCCAGAGTTACATGATGAAACCCTGTCTTCAAAAATACAAAACTAAGAATTGGCATATTAATACATAATGCAATATGGACAAAGTTCTATAGCCCTGGCTGTCCTTGACATGCACTCTGTAGATCAGGCTGGCTTCAAACTCGCAGAGATTCGTCTGCCTCTACCTCCTGAGTGCTGGGATTAAAGGCTGCACCACCACTACCCAGCTCCATGATCCCATTAGTCACAGTTCCGGGTTGCCCAGGGCATGGGAAAGAAGGTTATACAAATGGATTTCTTTAAGGGTTAATGAAGATTTTACCCTAAATTCAGCATGTTCAGCTAAGACTGTACAGGCAGACTTTGGTTGAAATGTTTCTGTCAGGCAGTGCTCCAGTAGATTTTGCTGAGCAGCTCCTCCCTGGGCATGGCTTGTGAATCTTCAGGCAGTGCGAAAGAAGACTGTATCTGGCCCTTCCCTAGATAATGTGAGAGTCTTATCCTTAAGCACTGTCCCAGTGTAGACATCACCCACCGGTAGGTGTGGGAGAATCACTTAGGCAGTGATTTTCCAGTTGAAGATTATTTGTCTGTGCTTCCGAGGGGAAGTTCCCCCTCATGGAATCAGACCCGTCACTATCAGGCCAGCGTGTCCACTGCAGTAGTAGTGGGCGGGAGCCCAACCACTAACGAATACAGTTTCTTCAGTTCACCACTGCCTCCCGCCCCTCTCCTGCACCTTCCAGCGCTGGCTCAGTGAACAGTGTCACTTTGGTACTTGGACCTCTGTGTTCTGCATCTTATAAAAGCCAAAAGCCAAAAAAAAAAAAAAAAAAAAAAAAAAAAGGCTGTGAGGACTGTGGTTGCAAAAGGAAAAGTGAGAACAAGCATGTTTGGGGGAGGGGCAATGAAGACTAAAAATGTGGCATATACAAACCTCACCTCTCTGGCTTCGGTCTCCTGGTTGGCCACTGGGGCAGTTAGCTCAGAATCCCCAGCCTAGGCTGCAGGAAGTCACAAGGAAATTTTGAGGACAATGGCTCTTTTTAGCTGTAGTTCTGAAAGATGCTCCTGGCAACCATCATGGGGACACAGGTGGTGTGGGGAGGCTGGAGGCAAAAAGCAGAGCAGGTTGCTCCCCCATGACGGGTCCACCCCAATGGGCATGTGGACTGCATGAGTACAGAGCACGGCTCCATAAAAAATGTACTCGGGGAGTGTTGAGGTTCCTAGTCAGGGGATGGAGATGTCCCCAAGATGGATTCTTCAGAAAGAGGAACCCACTGGGGGTGGCAATGAGCAGAGAACTTTGTAGTGCAGGCTCCCAGGCTCTCTGTGAAGTGAAGCTAACCTGATCTGGGCCTTGGCCACCATCTTTCCTGAGACTTGAGTCCACTCTGCTTCCTGACTTAGCTGCCTCCTTCATTCAGGGGCTCCCGACAGCAGACACCTTACAACCCTGGAGGCTGCTGATCCAACACTGGCCCACCCTTTCTATCAGAGGGTCACACCTGGAGCAATGTGCCCCGTGCCCTAGCACAGGGATCAAAGTGTTTACCCAACAGAATTAATGTAAAGTTTTAAAATAAAGAATAGACACTATGGACAAAAACACAGTGCATGAATTTTGAGAGAGTGCAGGAGAGGGAGTGTGAATCGCCCCACCCCCAGGGAGAATGGGGACCTTTTAGAATAGACCTTGGCCTTGTGATGCTGTGAATGAGGACAGCCCCCATAGGTTCGTGTATTTGAATGCTTGCCTTCCAGTAGGTAGAGCTGTTTGGGAAGGATTAGGAGGTGTGGCCTTGCTGGAGGAGGTGAATCACTGGGGGTGGGCTCTGTCCTTTCAAAAGTCCACACCATTTCCAGTTATCACGCTCTGTCTCTGCCTCCTTTTGTTTGTGGATTGAGACATGAGCTCTCTGCTGCTGCTCCCAGGCCTCCCCACCTGCCACCATGCTACCCACCATGATGATCACGATCTTAACTCTGCAACCCTGAGACACAAATTAAAGACTTTGTTTTATAATTAGCCTTGGCCATGGCATTTATCGTAACAGTAGAAAGGTAACCGAGACACTTGTCTTCTGGGCCATTTATGAGGTGTGAGGGGGGTCTTTTTTGAACAGAGTTCAAGGGAGTGTCTCCAATCTTTCTTTCTTTCTTTCTTTCTTTCTTTCTTTCTTTCTTTCTTTCTCTCTCTTTCTTTCTCTCTTTCTTTCTTTCTCTTTCTACTTCTTTCTTTCTTTCTCTCTCTCTTTCTTTCTTTCTCTCTTTCTTTCTTTCAGGCAGGGTTTCTCTGTGTAGCCTTGGGTGTCCTGGACGCACTTTGTAGACCAGGCTGGCCTTGAATTCAGAGAGATGCACCTTCCTCTGCCTCCCAGAGTGCTGGGATTACAGGCGTGTGCCACTGTGCCCAGCTTGGGAGTAGCTCCAATCTTAAGGATAAGATTCATAACACTGTCCTCCTTGAGACTGGCCATTTAAGATGAGTACCAGGGGCCATTAGATCTCTAATTGTTCTTACCCACATTCTTACATTATATTTTCTTACTCACAAATTTGAACCATTTGTTAAAGATTTAAGTCGTACTGCAATAGGCATTTGGAAATGCTGTTTAAAAGCCACCTGCTTTTCATCTGGGCTCATACAAGTTTGGTACGTGTGTCTCATTTTGTGTCTGTCTCCCTTTCTTTGAGTTACTTTTACAGGAGAGCAGAAACCTCAGAGATCAATGGTTGTTCCAAATGCACTGTAAAAGAGGAACAGAATCTAAATTATATTTATGATGAAATTAATACATAGAGACCATCTAAAAACTGTAAATTGCCTTTGTGGGCATTTAAACATTTGAAGCAGATTTTAAAATGACTTTGTTTCTTTCTTTTAGTCCAAATTTTTTAGAGTTAAATCTTGTCTAGGCTTGGCTAAAATAATAATAATAACTTTTTAAAAACCTGCGTGGTGAGCTGTGCATGGTGGCACAGACCTATAATCCCAGCACTCAGGGAGGCAGAGGCAAGCGGAATCTCTGTGAGTTCAAGGCCAGCCTGGTCTGCCAAGGACAGCCAAGGCTACACAGAGAAACCCTGTCTCAAAAAACCAAACCAAAACACCTGTATGGTGGTGCACACTTGTATTCCCAGCACTTGGGGAAGCAGAGGCAGGAGGATCACTGTGAGCCTAAGGGCAGCCTGGTCTACAGAACAAATCCAGGACAGCCAAGGCCACACAAAAAAACAAACAAAACTTATACTTATGAACACACATCTTAAATTGGGCATGCTAAGTGTGATAATTAATGTTGATTGTTGAAGTGAATTCACTTGGGTGGAAAGGTGGTG